AAATCGGCATTGACGATGGCTCGACACACCAAACAAAAATATGTCGAGTAGAGAATTGCGTGAACACGACTGCAGAATGGTATAAGGAATCTCCTCATGAACAGGTTACAACAGATATAAAGAAAAATGGAATTTATCAGATAATAGATGGAAGTTCATCCACGCTACACTTTGACAATGCAACAATAGCGGACACAGGGAGATACTTTTGTCGTTCTCATAATTCAAGCAAAAAAGTTTTGGACTTCAAAGGTACCACTCATTCACATTCCTAAATTATTAAATTGAAAAACTTGAATCGATTTACTTTTGGTCTGTGATAGCTTATGATCAAATTCTCCTTTTGCATATTGAAAATTGAATCTGCGATAACAGGCTTACAGTCAGTTGAACTACTTCAGAAACGTCGTTGCCTCATATTAACAACATTTTACCGGTAACAGGGATTTCTGCATCGAAATGTTTTTGTTAGTTTTTGTACATTTTTTAAACGCATATCCAAATTCAACCAAGCAATGAAAGGATTATATTTAAGTTGGTTTTATCAACATCGGTATACTGCATAATTGCATAACTGATGCTGTAGTCAATTTGAGATGATAAATAGATAACTAAAATGTATCTGTTACTTCTGAAATTTATGTACTTGCTTTACAGCATATGGAAATCCAACAATTTCATCTATTACAAATTCATCTTGTAACCAAAGTTTGTTTGTTACTTGGAATCCAAGCAAATATGCAGTTGGCTTTCGACACAAGTATATATTATTCTCAATATTATTATTATTCTCAAAATAGTTCTGCTTTATGATTGTTTTGAAAAGATTAATATTTTCAATTTATTTCGACAAACGTTCTAAAAAACAAAGTATACGATTATGTCGTTGAGCACATACATATTACAAAAATTTGTCTGGCTTGCTATACCAATGTTTGTTATTTCATTTCAGAATCACAGCAAATTATTCTAATACCAAGGTGGGAACTTTCAAAAAAGTAACTAGGCCGCAATCAAATACGTCTGTGACGACTGAAGTTTTGGGATTAAGAGCAACCACGGAATATCATGTAACAGTGAGTCGGTATTATGCTACTGACATTACTCTCCACGGAAACTAAAATTAATCGAGAACCTGCGCATATATGAACAGGAAAGACATCGAAACGTTATTCATGGTCAAATGTTTATACCACTAAACTTAGCTTATGAGTAATACGTCGCATTTTCCGCAATTTTGGTCTAAAAAAAATTAACTCAAATTTTCCAGATATACGTCTATATAAATCCGCACCAATCATGTAAATGTTGAAAACTCTGCAAGTTCCAAGTTAATATGAAAAATCATTTTAATATCGTACTCCAAAATAATTCTTGCTCATACTAATATGCCCAGATCGTTGTCTGTGAGTCAGACGATGAATGCAGCTCGGCATATTCAGCTAGTGCAACTGCAACAACAGATGGAAAAACCGAACCTGTGGCATCTGCATCTTTATCGACCAACTGCTCTATGCAATGGATTTGGAAATATAATAACAAACCAGAAAACGTTGGAGGTTTGAAAGTGAGTGGCGTAAAAACGTGATCAAAACAGAAATGACCACTCGGTCCCCTTCCGAGTTTGGATACTATAAAATACTATAGGTTTTTTCTACTTAAAGCAGAATTAATGATTGCTTATATCCACCCACATTAGCTTGGCGTATGGTCCCTTCCGTATATATCAAAAAAGTGCCGTGAGTTAAGATAAATTCGTTTTAATGCCTATGCTCCTTTTCGCGACACTTCGATTATAGAATTGAAGATAAATCCTATTAAAGTTATTATTGTAAAATATATACACATTTTACGCTTGCTTCTATCAAAATTAAGTTTCAATGCGATAGGATGATAATCTCAGATAAAAACTAAGGTCATATTCACATTTAGTTTAGTTCTAATAAATGATACAAAACATATTGGTTCAAACTCATTAGAAAGCTTGAACACATACTCGACTTATACTTAACCAATAAAGTTTTACTTGTTGCAGATTATCACTACATATATTTTAATTATCCTTTTATTTTCAGATCACGGAATATTGCACGACCATTGCAACAAGATCGAACGTAAATTATCCAAATACAGAATCATTCAACATATCAATGCCGCAAACATTTACTCCGGTACCTAACAGAAACTGCACAGTATCAATACAAGTTATCGGGTGTGCAGGACTGAGCAAGGCAGTAAATGTAACCGGATATTGTGCTGGAAAAGCAGCAGGTTTTGTATAACTTATCTATTTTTTCCTAATATTTCAGAAACAGACAGCAAATACTTATTCACTAATTAGACTTACGTAACAATGCAGTTACTAGTGCAGTAATCGAATCATGAACAAATATGGGAAATAGACGCGGTATTTCAATTTGCGCTTTTGAGAAAATTTATTCGTTATTTATTTATATATATCATTAAAGGTACTTTTCTTGATATTGTCACACCAGTAAAAGTTAGGTTGAAATATGGCTCCACTTTTCTGTTGATATTAACCTAAACAGAAAAATGACGTAATAGGGCAATAACTAGTCAATACCCAAAACTTTGTATCAGCTCTAGTGTAAGTAAAAAGACATAATAGGCCTCCAAATATGCCTATCCCAGTCAAATTTGCGTACTCAATACACTTAATCAATAAACCTAATATTCTGGGGTGTGAAGAAGTCTTGCTAAGTTAGGTGTTCATCACGTTTTACTACACTACACCATCTCTAAACCCTAATCAAAGAACTTTCAAAGTATAATTCAAAGTAGGATTACAATGAGACGAAGCAGCGAATTGGCACCAAAATTGGATTTGCAGAATCGGTAGCGCTAGTTGTCACTCATACGCATTTGGCGATATTTTGTCGACGTGAATTATAATTATATATATTCGTATATTGGCGCACTAAAATAACATGATCTATACAATTTGACTGAAATCTCCGCTTGCGACGGTCAAAATATATTTCTAGTTAGTTTCAATATTATACTATGTGATAGTTTATCTTTCGAGATGGATGTCGAGTGCATCAGTCTTTTAGCCCTTTATTCTGGATGGCAAGAGATTGAGGAATTCTTTTATTTTATTTTTTCAACAGCCCCGAATAAAATTGTGAAACCAATGGTTTCTGATGACGCCACCGACAGTAATGGGATTCACAAAGTGACCGTGACCAAACCTGATGAAAGCAATGGTTTACTGAGGTTTGTATTGTAAGAATACAACTACAACATTTACTATAAAAAGAAATTACTACAAATAAATATAGCTGTGATTTATTCCGACACGCTATTCCTGGAACTTTGAACGACGCCGTTAAAACTAACAAATCTCGCGCATTTTCTGTATTATTTTAGGTTAGTAGTATCAACTTGTTTTATGCCAAGAAGGCGGTTTGTGCTACAGCTAATGGACCAAGTAATTTCAAATATTTAAAAATTTATGATGGAAGAAGCCATATTATTAGCGACGCATAGTTCATCAAAATTTTCGTTGGTTTTTAAAATTCGAAAAAGCTTCATTGGCATTCAGTACAATATTCTAACATTTGGCTGGAATTTTTCTGACATTGCTGTGATAATATTAGTCATTTGACCTTCGTGTCAGTTTATTTTTGCATTGCTCTCTTATTTATTTTGTAAATATTTTCATTCCATTCAGCTGTTTATTCATCATTGTAAGAGATGGATCGTCTGACCGGAATATCAATTTCAGCATGGAGAATTTGATTAGGGCGCAGAGCTCAACTACAGAATACATCGCTGTAGCCTTGCCAGTTTTCGAGTACGCCGTAAAAATATCGTTCATAATTTCCAGGCTAATCTTACAAAACATACGAATGTAGTTGCCTTCTTGAATGAGTCAGCTAACCATTCGCATTTATTTTTATCGTAATTTTCTAATGAATTACAAATTGGAATATTTGGAAATAAAAACTGAGTTATCTACTTAGATATTTGAAAACATTAGGGTTGTTTTGACCTGATGGCTATACATTTTGCTTCTTGAACTAATAACTTATCGGCGATGGTTGCTCTTAGTGAAGAAAACAGCTTTCACAGTACTCCGCTTTGCGTCGATGATAAAATTATATCTATAACAGACATATTTATAAAAAAAAAACTCGCGTTATAAAAAAAGGATAGTTATTTTTTCTTTTACCATCCATATCGCAGATTCACTGGTGATAAAGAAGTTATAAAGCTTGGCAATGAATTAGAATCATTATGTAACGTCTCTCAAACACTTGAAGCCATGTACAATAAAAGACGGCGGAGAAGTGTCCGAGAGAATACATTGCTTACTGGAAAAAATCGAAAATTAGAGAAAGAAAAATCTTACAGGTAAAATAGTTTTTGTCAATAACATAAAAGTCGCTTGGAGAATGTTTGGAAAAGCAAAAGAGACAACCGAAAGTACAAGATATACATAATCAAACGACGCTTCCTACAAGGCTACTTTTCAGGGGCGTATATTTCCTTATTTTACCGTTTTTTTTAATAAAGAAGAGGTGTAAGCCGAAAATAAAGAATATGCGTAATCAAACTATCTTGCTTAATGTTTCCGTTTTTCTACAGTGTGTTTGTTGTTTCAACAACGCCTTGTGGGAATGATATTTGCATCCAAACGAGTTCGCCAACACAACTAAGTGAGCTATTTTTTATATTTTTTTAATATAGCATTGGACAGATAATTAAATACGAATATATCTCAGTTGCGGTAGACTTGTAGAAAGTTTCGATTTAGTATCAGAACATGTGAGATAAAATGATAATTGTGGAAAATCTGGCTGAAAAAGCCAAATCAAATTTACTTTTTGGGCAGTTCCTACAAAGAAAAATCGTTTCCAATGTAGGACTCCTATAAATAAATTGTTGCAATAACATTAATGAAACGCGTTGCCACATTTTGTAACCAATTATTGTCTATCGAGTCGTACATAAAATGTTTAAACATGTTTCTTAAGGCAATACAAATGGTTTTCAATCATGGATAATTGCAGTGATTGTGGCCGGAGCTTGCTTATTGATTGCTGTGGTGATTGTGATTGTTGTAATCAAACGACGGTGAGCTCTTAGTTAAAATACGGACTTACTCAATAGGGGATAAAAGTATTTATCTGAACTTATTTCAAACTAATGTTAAGACTTCATATAATGATATTAAATTTGTGTGTACTTCTTGAATATTTTGTAACTTCAAAGTAAAAGTTACAAAATTGAGAAGAAATACGTCTGTATTTCCGTAGCCGATTATACAAATCTGTAACACCAACTACTTACTGTCATTTTAGCAACACGAAAAGTGGAACAAGCAAAATTATTTCAATGAACGAAGTTACTACAACGAGACCAAGTAACGGTAACGCGGACTCAGCTTCGTGAGTATTGTGCAGCTTCTTATAGGCCTACAGCAAATCAATAATTATTCTTACGAGCATAATTTCCTGCCATGCATGATTTCTGTTCAGATGTTATTGTGTAAATTAAAGGTGTGTGGTAGAAAATTAGACGAGTCGTTTAAGACGAAGCGACGTTGTAGTCTCACATCACAGTTGGAATTCTTTCTAATGACATTCAATATCATTATGCACAATCAATTTATTATCCATCTTTGCGGACAAACAGAGACGTTATTGAACCGTTGTGCTGGTGAATGAATTAGCTATTTCGTCTATTTGATTTTGCTGTAGGAAACTTCAAAATGAAGAACCAGCAACCGGTGGCTATGCGGAAATTGCAGTTAGGGCTACAGAAGAAAATGCCCCATCAACCTCGTAAGTTTTAGTATTGATTTCACCCGCCTAATAACGTAAATAAATTACAAATATTTTCTCAAAGCATCAGAAATTCTGAAAAAATAGAATCACAAAGCGACAAAATTCATGCTGTCAATAACAGACAGCACTAAAGGCTTGAATATGGAGTTTCACATTTAAGCACCTATCTACAGAAAAGATTATTAACTTTTTTTTTCAGAGTTCAGTCATTTAGTAACTTCAACCACCACCTCGCTAGAAAATAAATTTTATCCACTTTTTAGAGTTCAGCCTTTTAGTCATTATTACTATCATTTTTTCGGACTGGTTCATGCTTCGTATGACTTGGTTCTGAGCGGTCTGGAAGTCATATATTTTTTCTTTTACAACAGAAAACTTAAAAACGAAGAAGAAGCAACCGATGGTTATACTAAAATGTCGTTCAATAGGATAAAAGAAAATACCATATCATACCCGTGAGTAATTGATTGAATATTTTTATAGCCCAGTGATTCGAATTTATTAAATTTTATTTTCAAAACATCAAAAAGTCTGAAAAGGGTATTAATGATAAAGGCAATGTTTGTCAAATTTTAAACTTTTATATGTCGCCAAGACTGAAATTCAGTATTAGCAAGTATTAACTACATGGTATCGGACGCACACTTCACACACAGTTCCTTTACGCAGAATCCTTGACAAACTCTTTATTTGTATATGCAAATTCGAAATTAGGTAGGAAAAAATTCTCATTTCGATTGCAACAAAGCATGTAGTACCAGCAGTTATATGTCTCATGAATTAATGGTTTCACATACCGAAGACTTTGTTCCAATTTTCATGGGAAGTACAGTTTCCAAAGGTACTAAATTAATTTTAGGCTAGTGGAATTTGAACCTGATGTATTTGTCATATTACAGAAAATCAAGTTCACAAATGCAAACGAAAGAGAGCAAGCCTATCGCGCCTAGCACGCCGGTGAATGCAGAGGAAGGTGGATTAGCAATTTCTAATATTGTAAAATATCAGTAGGCGTAAAATATAGAACATTTGATTAATTATAAATGATCATAATAGTTCACTGGTCCGGACTAACACGATTTTCCTCAACCACATATATGGGAATTAAAATTGAATAGCAAAAATATGGTACTTCTGTAGTATGCAAACCGATTAGGATTAGGCCATAATTTAAGGTACAAATACCACGGGAGTCACGTGGCTAGTCCATAGAACTAAAATAAAAAGAAAAATTGGAATTTATTTACGGCCTAAATCTAACACACATACTACATTCCGGTGTCCGTCATCTTGGATCGTATATATACTACAGGATAATAATTTTGAAGTGACACTTAGTACATCTTAGGCCAGGGTTATGTAATCCAGGATAGACTAGACAAATTGAAACAATTGTAATCTCAATTATAATTCAACAATCATTTACAGACTCCAGTGCCTACGCGAATGTGTCGGCAAACCGTCAGGCATCAAATTCCTCCGATACTTCTATCAGCACTTCTGATTTGGAAGAGGCTTATAATTCAATGAGAAAAAAAGAAAACTCGCAGTTTTTTGATCAATTTCAGGTTTTTATAATTTATATTTTGAATATTAAATATTTAAACTCGAAGACTGGCAACGTTGTTATTTAGTATTATTAAACAAAGGTATGACAATACCTGTTTTGTTGATCGTCTAGTCACAGTAGTCCAGTCCAGTATATCCAATATCATTAGTCAGTTTATATCGACGTAGACTTTTGTTCATTAAAAATGTAATTAATATAGACAAAAGTTCCATAAAATCAAAAATCAAATTAGAATCAATTCAGTAAATCCCTGTGCCCAGAACAGCGTAACATACCAAAATAAAAGACGAATCGAACAAAATTTCCTAGACTAATGAACGGAAGAGCACTCGCTCTTAATAATTTGAAGTGGGGAATTCCACTTTCATTCTTTGGTCTTATCATTTTTTAATGTGATCTCTGTTTATTATCTATCTTTAGTAAACTTTGGTTCTAGTCACGTAACTTCCCTTTCTTAACGAAGATCAACTCCGAACAAATTTGTTCATGACGTAACAATGCAACACAAATGTATGCTATTTGGAGATGGAGAACTAGCTGGTAGACTATGCCTATACTATAGCTTCACTTAAACGCTCAATTCAAGCTATCTAAACAATTCTGTATACTCGGGAACAATGTAATAAGCGAAACATCATAAATACAGTCTACTATACCAGGGTGAATCCCAGAAATTACCAAAATCACACTTGCTCTATAGCGACTTGAGTGGTTATGTGTAAACCTTTTTGCAAATGCCAACGCTATTATGTTCATTCCTATCAAAGGTGTTTCAAAACAGTAAATAGTCCAAAACTGTTCACAGTCAGTAGTTCAGATGCATTCATAACTTGAATTGCTATACATTTCCTCCCTGAATATTACAACTATCAGCATTCCGATCTGCTTTTCAGAAAATTCTTCTAGAATCCACCAAACTGGGAGGGCCTAGAAAATTTGCTTCTAATCCAGATTTGAAGAAAAAAAACAGATACAGAAATATTCTTCCATGTGAGTTGTTTAATAAAACTTTAGTAGTAAATTAAAGTATTTGTCTCCGTATTTTGTCATATTATTGGACACGTTTAGTGGACATAACGATCGTTTTCAATATTATGTTGTTGGACACGTAGTGGACATAACGATCGTTTCAATATTATGTTGATCTTGTTGTTGTTCTTTGACACTTTTTGAACATATAGTGGAAAATCTAAAACACCGCTTTTTTCTTTCATTACTGGACCGATTGCTTCGAAATTTTTACTGGTTAAAGATCCGCCATGCATGTTCCTCATTCAGTTATAAAGTATGTTGAAATAAAACGACAAGGGGAAATTTTGAGTGACAAGATTAACAAATAACCAAAGTCCAGCTATATATTCTTGACATATTCGATGGTTGACGAGCTTTCAATGACATCATTTAAGTCCAAATTTACTTTAAACATTAAAAACAATTCTTCCTTCTATCAGTTGACGAAACTCGAGTGAAAATATCTCCAGAAGAATCGGGATATATAAATGCCTGTTATATTGATGTAAGTATAATACAAAGCGTAGCATGACAATAAATATAAATAACATTATTTGGTATTTCGATATTTTGTCAAGAATAAAAAATTTGGAACAACTGACAAAAAATTTAACGTTGGACCAAATTTATTTGAAACCTATCGAATTAAATTTGAACAAATAATGCTGACATATCAATATATATATCTCCAGGAAGAAAGTCGACTCTTTTTCATTTTTTGAGTTTTCATATTTAACGAGACGTGACGTTCATGTCCTCTTTTATATAAAGGGTCACAACAAGCGACGTAAATACATCGCAACGCAGGGACCTCTTGCAACGACTGTTGATGATTTTTGGCAGATGATAATCGAACATAAATGCTATTTGATCGTGATGTTGACAAAGGAAATGGAGGCCGGGAAGGTTATCTGTCTTCAACTATTTTGCTAAACTGAACTCACTAAACTGCTGACTAAAGTTTGTAGAGGGCTCAATATTTAGATCCTAAACTGTTATTTAGTGATAGTGATTACGCATTGTAATCAAAAATATTTCAAAAATCCCTGGGTACCTGTGGAAGTATGCAATGCAATATGTCGATACGATAGTGAGATACAAAAAAGCTAGTTATCGACTTAAGAATAATAAATTAAACCTTGTGATCACAACTAAATAATTAATGCTTTATTTGCAGAAAAAATGTGAAAAATATTGGCCTGATGAGAACAAAAGTCAGAAGTTTGATTCCGTGCAAGTGAAAAACGTTCAAGAAGTCAACTACGGCTCGTTTGTGAGGCGAAGTTTTACTGTCAAGTCTCTCAGAGAGGTAAGTAAGCGTGTGTGTTATGTTAAGATAGTTTTATACTCAATTATTGATGATTTTTGTCAGCAAATTAACATTAAAACTAGTTTTGGTTTTAATATAAATTCATTATATTTACTGTGTAGTTACTTTTTTCAATTTTTAGGATCACAATCCCGTTTACAACAAATCTTGAACTTTGGATCCAAAAGTGAACATGCAGATAATTAAATTCGCTATCGTTAAAATTATTTTCATCAGACATGTACTTATACAGACCTTTAAGCACTGATACAAGTGTTACTATAATCGCAATTGAAATCATACTCACATCACTGAATTCCACTAATAGAAAATTCTAATGTGTATAGGTATTTAATCAAATACCTTATTTTAGGATCTTGATGTGATGATAAAAGTTTACCAGTACCAATTCTTGAAATGGCCTGACCATGGTGCACCGGCAACCACTTCAGATTTATTGCGAATGCATAGGGCAGTGATGAAGAGTTATGAAGAAATCGGAAGAGGATCCCCGATAGTGGTGCATTGCAGGTATTGCATTAGTACTTTAAAAAATATGCACAAACCTCATTCTCTCTAAGTTAGTATAGAAGAAATATAAAAGAAAATGTTCAAAATAGCTTTGTCCGCAAATGGCACCAACATAATCGTTGAATAAGCAAATGCTTTATATTCGTAATTGTACTATTAAATTGTCTGTGGGCAGTTCCTGCTAGTTTTCAAAAATACTCGGTCTTTAAATATTCCCTTTTGTATAGAGATTGATATAGAATCAAATTTACATTCTATCAATAATGTATGATCTATGACGAATCCTACATAAAAAAGTCTATAGAAAACTATTTACCAATTCGTGTTCTTGCCTATCTAGCGCCGGTGCAGGTCGAACAGGGACGTTGATTGGTTTTGATATTCTGCTTGATGAAAGCAAGTTTGCAGGATCTGTTGACGCCTTTGCTTGCGTTCTCAAAATGAGAAAACAGAGAGTGGAAATGGTGCAGAATTCGGTGAGCTATTACTTCTGTTTTATGCCCAATCTATCTATAGAACACCCTAACAAAATGTAATATTCAGCAATTGTATCAGACGTTTAATATTGTTTTTTATTTAGGATCAATACGTTCTCGTTCACAAGCTCGTTCTAGAAGCCATATTGCTTGAAGACAGAGATTTATCTTCTGATGAAGCAAAAGCTAAATTGGAAAAGATAAAGTAAGAAAAAAAAAACTTTAGTTTATATTCGTCCCCAATGTATATCCACTACGTTTCACGGTTTGCTTAAGTGTTTACACGTACATACGTATTATTGGGAGATTAATTCAATTTTGTACTTGTGTTTTGAATGCCAAACTAAACTGTACAGTATTAGGGTCACAGTGAAGTAATTTTGGATGACATAGTGGGGTAGGGTTTCGGGAAAGACATATTCAAAAATTGTTACACCACGCCCACTGCAAGTACTTGTGGTACTAAACTACACTAGTCTCCGGTATTACAGTTTTGTACCTTTCTTTCCCTTTTCAGTTTGACTCGGAAATATAATATTGTCGAGAAAATGCTTCAATTATCACAATAACAGAATAAATTCATATTTTAGAACGCATGTGGGCGAAGCTTCATTGAAGAAAGAATTTGAAGATTTAAATCGAATTGGACCAATGAAAGACACAAAATTGCTCGGGCTCGATGGAAACAACAAGAAGATGAACAGATCAAAGAAATCTATTCCATGTAGGTTGTGTAAAATCAAAAGATTCCCATGATCTGTGTAAACCACCATGTCTCGTTTTATTGGGTGGCTATGCGCTTGATAAAGTTAAGTGCAGTATGCTGGAACCAATTATGTTAGCGTCGAAGACTAAATGTCTTGGACCAAATTTTATGACGTTGTAATAACAACTTGAGTGGTGCGAATCTGCAATTTAGCACTATTTCGCGTAGGCTATATATTACAAGTACCTATTGTTCAGTTGTTCAGAACTCTGTGGCCACATCTCATAAAACGTAAGGATTGACGGTTTTCTTTTTCTTAACTTAATCGTCTATATCATTTCGTTTACAATGGTCATCATGCGCTAAAACTCTGTTAGACTGCATAAAAATGGCGAAACTCTGTCAGATGTACCCAAAGTACCATCGACATGTCTATTTCTATTAAGTTAAGTTTAAAAAATAACACACATTACAAGCCAAAATATTTTAACCCTGCAAATTCTTTTAGATGACTACACACTGGTAAACATATTCAAACAAAGAGGCGAAGATGATAAACCCTATATCAATGCTTCGTGGGTAGAGGTAGGATACATAGCTTAATGTAAAAAACTGATGATTTATCACTGTAAAATTGAATATGGAAAAATGTCGTCTATTTATATACAACGATAGAGGGTGACGACCAATCACATCCAAATATCTACGTTCTGGCTGAAATATTCACGAAGTACCCCATTTTATCTAATTGTATTCCCCTCTTGTGTTTCCATCAAATTATTCCTGACAAACTAAGTAAAAACGATATCTTACATTTCACCTTACATTTTTTTATGCAGAGCTATGATGAATCAAGTCCAATGATCGCATCTCAAGGTTCAACTTCATCAAACATTGATTTATTCTGGAGATCGGTTTTAGATAACAACGTCAATACAATCGTTATGTTGACAAAACTCAAAGAAGAAAAAGAGGTTTGGTGAATATTGATTTTTTTAGGGCTGAGAGTAGTCAAAGCTGGGCATGCTTCCACTAATGTCGGAGAAGTATTTTTAAACTCCGGGATTCTTTATTCAGCGGTGAAATCCTAGATTCGCCGTAGTCGGAAGCTCATTTTCTCCAAGTTTGGAACTATAGACAGAATCAAATGTAAATCTGGAGCCTTGATTTTGTCAAAAAGCGAAAATATATATATATGCCAGTTGCCACATAATGCATATCCATTCAATTTTACTGCCCAACGTTTAAATCAGCTTATTCATGATCTGCATTAGGTAATTGCTGGTATAATTTCAGGAACAATGTGCTCAGTACTGGCCTACGAATGTTGGTGAAGTTATGAAATGGAATAACTTATCTGTGATCAGAGTCAGTGATGAAACGGAAGGTTTGATAACGGAGAGAAAGCTTCGAGTGGACAGAGGGCCTCAATCGGTGGGTCATTGCTATAACTCTCCATAGAATTTTGTGATAAAAGTGGCTGATAAGTCGGGTCAAATTAATATTGCTAATAGTCTACGCTAGTTAATATTCAAGGACAATAATATCCCATATTATTATGAAATTTTAATCCTCAACGGCGCGATGGCATTCCTGGTGTTTAAAGCGTTAGCCCTAATTATTTTGGCATCGAAGGTAGTTTCCCATGTCTCACCCAAAATGCAGTGAACTGGGTAGGAGATGGCGGAACGGAATTGCTGTAAATTCCTCGACTAAAATCGATAGCTGCTTACTTATTAATTGTTTATAGTTTATCCTCGTTTGGGGGAAGGTATACCAAAAAGTACAAGAAAAATGTAGGTGATGACGGCAAACTTACTTACTGTGGTCTCCATTCCATTTGATTAAGCCTATTTCTCGAGGCAATTCTTTCGAATGCTTTAAGCAAGTGGATATGCAATTCTGATAAATTCAAAAACTAATCTCAGTTTTATTTCAGAAAACCGTGACTCAATTTCATTACACCGGATGGAAATCAACAAGTTGTCCTGAAGATGGAAGAAAAATAATTGACCTTGTTAATAAGATGCAGAAAAACATTCGATCAACTGGAAATGGAGTCACTCTTATACACTGCAGGTGTAAACCTTTATTTTCTAAAACCTAATCACTTCATTCTACCGGATATTTAGTTCTGTGGTGTCTGCAACAGCTTCGCCATATCTTAATATTTCAGTATCGATACTCTAAATGTGTCGGTGTTTGCACTAATATACAGTGGTTTCCCACCTTTCATTGGCATAAAATCTTTTAACAAATTGAGCGGATATTGCGTACTCCTTGGTGTAGTATGACATATAAATTGGGCTTTCAATCGGCAACAACTTGAGCTTTCACCCATGATGTCATGCAGTGTGTATCCACAACCGAAGCTGAAATATTATAGTGTTTAAAAAATCAGTAACTACTTCTATATATATATATCAGTGACAGTGGTTTTCATAATATATACGGGAGTCACAAATATAGGCTTCGCAGATCTAGTATTCCAACTGTCTACCACTTACAATATTGTCTAGTTATATTATAAGTTGAGAGAAATCATCAATAAAAGTGAAACAAATCTTTCTGCATTTTAGTGACGGTATCGGCAGGACCGGGGTCTTTTGTGCAGCAGTGAATCTGATAGAACGATTGAAATGTGAGAATCGAGTTGATGTTTTCAGAACTGTAAAAGATCTCAGAGATGGAAGACCAAACATGGTGGAAAATTTGGTAAGAATATTCACAACATTTTTACCATTTTTTTTTCTTATTTGTAAAGTGTAAGGGACCTGGAGGTCGGCCATATTATTTATCACAGTAGCCTACGTCGTGAGATTGCATTCCAGGTTTCAAACTTCGTAAAATCGGACTATGCTGCAGTTGAATGACTTTCTAAATTGCACATATAATGACTATACTGCATTTATTATGGTTGGGTTGGTAACGTGATATACATATAGAGTCAAAAACATGCTCGCGACGAACCCATCAAACATAGTTTATCACAATACACGTCACATTCTAATTTCCATAGGTAGGCTAGAGATATACACAACGATGAACCATTATTGGGAATTGAATGTAGCGCAATCACACACTAACAACAAGCATCATAACGGTGCCATTTCCGTGATGCTCCGCTAATTCAACAAAGAATAACGCTCCGATTTCAAACACACGACCATACATGCATATAAAATTGATTTGCTGTGTATGGATATGACAGTGGTTGTATATGTATAAATGATTGACTGCATATATACGTGAGTTGGTTGTATATATGTGTGATTGGCTGCATACGTACGTGAATTTGTTGTATTTGTATAATTTGGATGCATATGTAAATAATGGTATTAACCCTATCGGTTTATTTAAAAATCAGTACGTGAGATTGATCTCATGGATGTGTGAAGCTTTGTTTATACAGAATTATTCATTGAACTTGCGTTTCCAAGAGGGCTCTTTGTGGCACCCAATTGTAGTACATAACTGCACTGTCACAGCCTTCTCCAAAATGTAGAGATTTTACCTGTCAAAAACATTAGTCTATTTTCATTCACCACGTCTCACTGCTTTGGTTCATAAATACCAATTTTATTTTATTTCAGGATCAATACAAGTTCTGCTATCAAGCTATTGTGGAATATCTGAAATCATTCGATCTTTATTCCAACTTCTAAATTTTTGTTACGACATGAAACTTGATTTCCTTATTTTATGGTAAATTTTATCGTTCATTACAGATATAATTGGCAATTTTTATAATTATTTAAAATTGTTCAAGTTTTTCCACCTTTTTTCCTGCTTCCTGATTATAACAGAATGAAAACAGTTATTTAATCTTATTTGTTGTGCCCTTTTCTTCACTTTATCGTTCATTTGTATTATGTGTGTAATATCCGAATCACGAACGTATAAAGGAAGACAAATACCCAGTTTCTTATAAACTATAGTCGTATCGTCCGTTTACATTAAAGATATTTTTCGAACACACTTCTGGTTATTTTATAGTTGGATTATGATATGGTTTTGAAACGTAAAATAGTTTACTCCAAGTGTTAAAATTTAAAAACTGTAAAATACAGGTTAATCGTTCTATTATGATTTCTTTCATGTTTAAATTATTAAAATAGTTTAAGTAAATACCTGTTTTATGCATATTCTATTTAAAAGATGATTCTAATAAAAGAACAAAGAAAATGTATGCCATGTTGTGATGGTGCATTCTCACTAACTATGATGGTACTGGCATACCTAGAGTTTACAAAATGTCATATATCCGTGTTGATGATTTCATTCAAGATATATGTATATATATATACATGAGAACGAAACTTCGTGTCATCATTGTTCGGATATAAAAAAAATTATATGGACACCAAAGCTAAAACAAAATATACTACTCGCAATTTCCACAAAACCCTTTTGCAAGCGAAGTTGAAACTATGGAAAACCTACTATATTTGGGTCCATGGTAGTACAGTACCACATATACTTCTAGTGGGCGTGGCGTAACGATTTATGCATATTTCATTCCTACTCCATAAGTCCATTTCGTGTACAATGATTTAAAACAACATCGTTCTTAATTCCAAAAACGAGCAATGCTCAAACATATGGACACGAATGTCAAGAGACTAGCCTATGCGACAGACACGGAAATCTGTTATACGACCCTTCAAATGCTTCAAATCAAAATGCAAGCCCCGTACCTGCAGCAATTCACATCAGTGCCGGTAAGGTCATATATATCTGAGAAAATCGGTTTTGCCGAAAGATGGCGCACTATAGATTGTAGTCAGGGTTGTCCAAAACGAATCGAATATTCGAATGTATTCGAATATCAAAGTATTCGAATACCTTTTCGGCTGATTTTCGAATAATTCCGAATAGTAGCCACTTTTCGCCGTAAACGTGGTGTTTCGTTTTACGGGAATATTCAAACGACTTTTTACGCTGTCTCACGTATTGTAATGACGATGAAATAGAATCGGCATTTTGATTGTTTATATTCTGTGCGACGGTACGTCGCATAGTGTTGCGACATATTTGCACGTTTGCGCAGGTGAACATTGCCGATATTCGTCTACAAGGCTTTTAATTTACAAATTCATTTCCATTACGTCAAAAATTCGTCTAATGAGTCGCTTTTCTAGGCAGGGTGGGGGCGTCTAATTGAGAAAGTATGTTTATTTTATTTCGATGTGGCCTGCTTTTTATTCGCATGAGTCTTCTCAAACATGATTCGTGTAACCTTATATTTGGGTCTTAGGGCCTGCCAATCATGATATTTAATCGCAGGCTTTAATCGTTACTTTAAAGAGAAACACGGCCACCGAGATAAAGTGATTTGTGACCCTTTCGTTTTGCCGATTCAGCAGAACACGACAGGGACAGGAAAACACAGCTGTGAAATAACCCGTGGACGTACAGTGTAGTACTTATCACATTTCAAAATTATTTCAACATTCGGGTTAATAAGTTGTCCAAAATGGTTGCCGCTTTACAACACAAATTTACCGCTCAATTGTTAAATATAGTTAAATGATCTGGTTCTAAACATATAAAATTATTAGCGCATATTAGCATAACTGAACAACAGGGACACAATTTTTTTACCCGTCTTATTGGAGGCCTATATGGAAAAACCCCTTTTTTGAGTGCTAAAAATAGACATCGTCCTATTTGCCATGTGGACTTATTAGCCGGGAAATACGGTATTTATAGCCGTAATTGTTACGTATCAAATAAATTGTCACAAGTTGGAAAAAAAAGTCGATTTATTAGAAAATAATTTCTGGCAAATAATTTTGATAACGATAGTTAAAAGTATCGATCCTTTACCAAGATGATTTTTGTTGCGCAAAATAATCCAATCCATGACTGGTAACAGCATTTATTAAAATGTCATGCCGTATTAATTTAATTCTGTTCAACGTAACTCATGGTTGTATCGACAATCTGTGGACATAAAATGTGTGGTGAACTGACCGATATTATAAAATATTGATTCCTATTTTCATATTGATAAAATAATGAAAGTATTAATACCAAATACCACGGGTATTTGTGGTCATGAAATATGTAGTAAACTGCCCAATTAGAATTAAATTCTGATTCGTATTTACAAAATAATAAAACTATATTTCTAAAATGCAACGGCGATCTGTGGCCTTAAAATGTGTGGTAAACTGCCCGATTTACCAACATTTGAGTTATGATAATAGAATTAAATTAACACGGTAAGGCATTTCAAATAGAGGTATCGGTCATGGATTCGAATATTTTGCGCAGCACAAATCATCCTAGTAAAAAGTCCATACTTTTAAATACAAACCAATGGCAACCATTATCCAAATTAGTTCCCAAAATGCGGGATAAAGTATAAATTATTTTCCAACGTGTGACTATTTTTTCGTGAGTACGAAAATAAGAATTAAAAACTAATTATATTCGGCACAATATCATGGCAATCTGTGGACATAAATTGTGTGGCAAACTCGCGATTAATATTAATTTTTGATTCCTATTTTCGTATTTACAAAATACAACGGCGATCTGTGAACTTAGAATGTGTGATAAACTACCCGATTATAAATAGTTTTTGATTCCTATTTATAAAACAATAAAAGTATTATTACTCAAACATACAACGGAGATCTGCGGACTTAAAATGTGTGGTATAGTTCCCGAATATAATTAATTTTTGATTCGCATTTTTGTACTCACAATAACCAAAATAACTCATACTTTATCCCGCTTATCGGCAAATAATTTGGATAATGGTTGGTGTTTAATTAAGAGTATGGGCGTTTCACTAGGATGATTTTGTGTTGCGCAAATATTCAAATCCATCACCGATACCACTATTGCCGTATTAATTTAATTCTGTTAACATGACTCATGGTATATAAAATATATACTGGAATATGAAATGCCTGGTAATAAAGCTAGGTTGTAACTTCTAGATAGCAGTTATTCCATTGCTTATTGTATGGAAATTCCTACATATATTTAGATAAGCTTCAATTAGTGGATTTTATTTTCGAAGTATTCGAAATTTCATATTCGAAAAAAATAATTTCGAATGTATTCGAAATAGTGAACTATTCGGTATTGGCCATCCCTGATTGTAGTGTTCAGTAAAAACAGGACTCAGGACTTCAAAAAACATATAGATATGCGTAAATGGAAAAATTTGGGGTGAAATATCGAGTCCGTTGGGGCTCAGAAAATGAAACTGTGACTTGCTTCTTTTTGCATCTTCAAGTACTGAATCTATTGGTTCACTTGTCGTGAAGAAAATTGCGTAACAATAATAAATATAAAATTTCGGGGTGAAATATCGAGTCCCTTTGATGTGGGGAAAATCGTAACAGCAATAAGCCAATATAAGCCTGGTACACTTCGTACCCATGAAACATGCGTATATAAAGGGCTAACTTAGTTTTCAAGATTTTCAAATTAAACTGCATTTAAGAAGTTGTTTAAAAATAAGATATCTTACGTAACATTGAAGACATATCTGGTGGAAGAGTTTGGTGTGATCGATATTTGTCTAAAAGTCACATTATAGCGCGACAAGTATGAAAATAGGTTTATCAGTTATTAACGCAATAAAAGGAGACTCAAATTTTCGAAGAACTGTTTCCGCATTCAAAAACCCTAACAAATATTTTTCGGGAATTTGAAAAGATTCAGCAGCTGATACGTAATAGATGCTATGTAGATGCGTGAGTATAAACATAAATACAAACATATATTTGGAAAAAATATGCCAAAAGTTATGGATCAATAATATACTCAATTTACATCAAAAACGATTTGTTGAACTCTAAAAAAATTCATAAATTTGAGTTGGGTTGCGCGAGACTAACTTCCTATCTTTTCCCTATGCCTTTATGCTAGTGGATCCGTATGCGTATACTGCAAGGATACTGTAGCTGGAATAAACATGACTATTCTATTCAATTAAAGAGTCCAGCTGCACACTAACACAAATGTATTTCTGTAACGTTTCGTCCGACCAGAGTCAGACTTCCTCAGACAAGCAGTTTACAACAATCTAATTCATATAGTATACTGTATTTTTATATGTACGTATGTAGTCCTATCTTGAAAAACGACATCGATTTCGCAGCCAGTGAGAGATATTCTATGATATCGAAAATGTAATGGCACTGGCCAATGATGAAAGCTTTGTTGCTACAACGCATACCTTGGCCTGGTAATTAACCACCATGATAGGTTATCGCCAATCTTATATTTCAATTATTTCCCATGTTTCCTCTATCAGAAGGGGAAGTCCTCCGGCATATCATTATATTATATCATGTTCATTTCTGAAAATTTTAGGAAAATCTTTATCTATATAATAAATACATCATCATTCCAGTAATACGAGAGTAATGCTCAAGTATATCTGGATGAAAGTCAAATGTCAAAAAAGGTGAAAGGTCAAAAACATGGATAATAATGAAACAACAATAATTTGTTTGAAGTATTGGATTCCGTAGCAACCAGAAAAATAAGCAGTAACCAACTAACTATTTCAATTCTCAAGTACTGAATATTAGTTGTGGTGAAATGCAATATTTTGGCAACAGACATTTTAGCAACACTATTCATATTTCATAATATGATATGATGAAGCCATATTCAATTATGTTGACAAATAATGTACAGATTATGATAGAAAGACAAGTGAGAAAAAAATATATTTAGCAAATTTGTTAGTACCCAACCTATGCCAACTCGACGCTTAGGATAAGTCACATAGCTTAACCTCACTAGTGTAATGGAACGAGCAAACTTGTTTTGACAGTTCTTAGTAATTCTGCCTACGTATCCTGAACATCATCAATAGCGTAATAACAAAAAGTCCTGCCAGAATATAACTCTTAATAACTGTCGACCAGGCTACAAGGAAATATGTCTTGTTTTGGACAGCAACTATCAACGTATGTTAGTACCAATAAATAAGTGCCCAAAGTTTAATGATACGTTATTTTAAGTGCGGACACAGGCCGACATTTTGTACCAGTTTTCTGACATATGCAAACGGTAACAGGTAGTGACGTGCGTGATAGTGCTTCGA